GTGACCTGTGCTCGCACACAGGCTTCTTGGCGGTAGCAGCGGCGGCCTTAGCGTCTCATGCCTGTCTCTGTGGTCCGCGCTTTTAGCCGCGGCTCGCACCCGTCTCTGGAGCTCCTTTAAGCAGCGCTCTTAATCCCCTGTCCTCGCGCACCAGGAAACAAAGAGGTAAGAAAAAGTCTCTTGCCTCTTCGGCGGGTCCACACTTTTCCCCGGACTCCCTCTCGGCCAGCCGTGGCGCAGTAACCCACTGCAGGCTGTGTACACGCCGCCAGTCCTCTCCCTGCGCTCCAAAGCTCCAACGGAAGCCCGAGCCTCAGCTCGCAGCCCCGCCCGCCCCGGCGGGAGAGCAGACAAGCCTCTCAGGCTGGTGAGCGCTGGTCGGCACCAATCCTCTGTGCGGGAATCTCTCCGCTTTGCCCCGACCACCCCCGTTGCTGTGCTCTCCTACGCGGCTCCGAAGCTTTCCCCCTCCGCCACCCGCAGTCTCCGCCCGCGAAGGGGCTTCTAGTGTTTGGAAACCTTTCCTCCTTCACAGCTCCCTCCCACTGGTGTAGGTCCCGTCCCTATTCTTTTGTCTCTGTTTATTCTTTTTTCTTTTGCCCTACCCAGGGACGTGGGGGGTTTCTTGCCTTTTGGGAGGTCTGAGGTCTTCTGCCAGCGTTCAGTAGGTGTTCTGTAGGAGTTGTTCCACGTGTAGATGTATTTCTGGTGTATCTGTGGGGAGGAAGGTGATCTCCGCGTCTTACTCTTCCGCCATCTTCCCAGAAGCTCCCCGCAAGCTGATTTCTGTGCCTCTATGTGACTCCCAGGTAAGAGACCCAGGGACCTCTAATGTCAGCTTCTTCTCTCTGTTATGCTTTCCCTTCTGTTCTCATTGTACCCCAACTCTGACTAGAGGCAAAGCATCAGTTAGGTCAAACAGCCTTCATAACATTGAAGTCAACAAACAGGGAATGATCACCAGAGGGTGGAGTGAAGGGTATGAAGGGAGGAGCGGTGAGCACTGGAAATAACACACAAAGACTGGGCCACCTTTGATCTTAGGACCCATGTTTCAGATTGCAGAAGTTTTGGTAGGTTACTGTGAAAATCCTGATTTCTCGGATTTTTCTGTGAAAAATTAGAAGATCACACAAGTCAAGTTCACATTCCCTCGTGGCGAGAGTCTGTTGAAGCCAAGTAGGAGCCAACAAATGAGGTGGCCCAGCCCTTCTTGAACTTGACAGTTGCTTCCACTCCTTTTTATCTGCCCTGTATCCAGTCTGAATACTGGTTTCCATTTGTTATCTCCATGCATGACTGTTTCTCTTAGCTAACTGTACTATTTACACGGTAGGGAGCTAGCAGAAAAGATAAGATCAGTTTGAGTGTTAGAAAAATAATCTTGGAAGTTGAAGGATTTGTAACTGTGAGAGGGAGATAAAGTGAAAGAGAAGGATTAAAGATCAAAAGTAGAAAGATCAGCTTAGGGACTACAGTAGTTTACACTAAACATCAAGAACATTCCAACCGGGCAGTAGCCCTGGAGGTGGGGAGAGGATAGATTCCGAAGATAGGTTGGGGGCAAAATTGAGGGAGCTGGTGACTGAACATGGAGGGTGAATGAAGGAAAGGGAGAATTTCAGGGCTCAAAATAAGTCAAGGCTATGCACAGGGGTCTTTATTACAACAGTTTTTGTTTAGTAGCAGAAAAATAGAAACCAAGTGAGTGCCCATCAAAGGAAAATGGTTGAAGATACCATGGTATGTCCATGCTCTGGGACACTGTACTGCCATTGTCAGGAATAAGTCAGATCCAAACCAGCTGCCATGCAGGGATTTCCTCTGAGTGTATTTAGGTAAAATGCACTGAGGAACATTTATGAGATGATTCCATTAATGAAAAAGCAACAACCCCCTAACCTACGTATGTATGTGTATGCAGAGAGGTGTGTATTCGTTCGTATATATGTATGTGTGTATGTTTGATTATGATCATATGAACAAAGGAAAAAGGATGGGAATCATTATAGTAATAGAACGTGGGAGTAAGTGGACGATGAAGGAAGTAGGAGAAAACCAAAAAAAAAAAAAAAAGAAACCAACTATATTATAAAACGTGATCTTTGGATTTTTAAAGAATGCATATTTTATTTTTGTCGAATTGCGTATGTGTGTGTAACCATTGAAAAGGTGCATGAAATGGATACATGGGGTCTGAGGGATTCCAGTTGATTTTAATTTCTTAGAGTTATAGATTATTTATAAAATTGGTATAAACTCCCCACAATATGTGAACCTAAAACTGCTTAACAAATGAAGTTTGCTAATTTTGTAAAAACCCACAAGAGATCTCTTTTCATTGTAGACAAGCACAAATCGAGGTATATTTTTCAATCATCTCAATATTCCTCTCATTTTACATTTAAATCGTGCCATGGCTATTTCCCAGCTGGGTGAACTCAGGCAATTTACTTAATCTCTCTCTGTCCGCCTAATTTTTCTTATTTGAAAAATGGGAAAGATCATCTTAACCCTGAAATGTTGTTGCTAGGATCAAAGGAAAGAAGATCCATAAAGTGTCTGGCCCCTGGGAGGCTCTCCTTAGATGACAGCTACTATTTTTAGTACTTTTAGAGAATACTTTACCCCTACCCTGCTCACAAGTGTGACATGATTGATGGTTTCAGCCATGGCCTTCAGTGCCTCCTGAACCTCCAGATACTTTTCCGTCCAGTTCCAATGATAACGCTCCCTCTCCTTTTCTTTAGACTTTAATCAGTTACTTGAGGCCAAGGAAGGGATTCTGGGCCACTGGCCAGTGAGCAGGCATCAGGGCTCAGTTTCTTTCTCATCCTATTTTTAGCTGATCAGACGTCTTAGTTCAAAACTTACCATCAGATTTAAGTCATTTTCAAGCCTTCTGATCATGTTTAACAAGTAAAAGCCTTTCGAGGGGCACGTTTTTGCAAGTTTGGTAAGTTTTATTTTTGCAAGTTTTGCTCACAATGTAAAGAAAAAGATGAAATGAAGGTGGGATTTAGGTGTGATAACATTACTAAGTGCTAGGTAAGATTTACAGAGCCACCGTCCCTCCCAGCCCCATCAAAATATAATAGAAATTATTTGAACTTTGGATACAAAGAGGGTCAAATCGATTTAGAGGAATTAAAATCACCTTGTATTTGTATATTTGTTTAGTGTCTCCACTCCTGGAGAAACAAGAAATACTGAGATATTTCAGGTAGAGCTGTACTGTGTCAGCATTGAAGTTGCTTAAGGTGTTTCTGTTTCATTTTTAGCTAAGAAATTCCATATAAGTCTGGATAAAACTTAACAATTCAATTTGCCATGTTGTCTGTTTTATTTCTAAAATAAATCATTGATATAGGGAAAATGTATAAATAAGTGTAAAAATGCAAATCCCAATCAGTTGAAAGTTTCCCTCAAAGTTCGGTTGATTCCACATAAAACCTTAGAGCAAGTCTGTCCTAGCCCCAGAGCTTTTCAAAAGGAACTACAGGGGCCCTTTTATAATGAGTTAGACTTTGGGCATTTCTTGAATTCGTTAGGGGGTTTCTTCATATTTTATTTGTATAAGAATTTTATTTATTTATTTCTGAATGGAATTTCCTCTTTTTTTGGTCTCTAAATTACACTTTAATCTTCTTCAAACAGCAGATTGCTTTAAATATTTTAGAAAATAAACCTTCAGATGTGGCCATTTCTGGGTAAAAATTCTATTCCATTTGATTTGCCATGATTAATAGAAAAACAGAAACCAACATTTACTGTTTATAATGCCTTAGGCATTGTTCTAAACAGGTTTCTCAACCTCAGCACTACTGAAATTTTGGACCGGATGATTCTTTGTTGTTGAGGGCCGTCCTGTACATTGAATACCATTAAACAGCATCCCTGGCCTCTACCCACTTGATGCCAATAGCACACCTCCACCAGCTGTGACAACCAAAATGTCTCTAGACGTTGTCAAATGTCCTTTGAGGGGCAGAATCACCCCAGTTAAGTACCCACACTGTTGAAGACACTTTCACATAGGTCATTTTATTTACTCTTTACAACAGAGACTCTGAGAGTTTACGTTATTTTCCAAAGGTCACATATTGGAGTAGTGAGTGGGGTCCTGGGATTCCAATTCCAGCTGGTATAATCCCACAGTTCCTCTTTTAGAGATCATGCTGGGAAAAAAGAACAGAAAAGAAAAAGGAGAAATCTGACTTAGCTTCAAGATTTCTTAAAGCATAAAAATTATTCTCAGTGCTATTCTCTAATTATTTCTACATCCTCAAACCTTATTCTCGTCCCCAGGATGTGCTTTTAGCTGCCACCAACCCCCAGCCCTCCCTCCCAACAAATATCTCATTTTTCCCTGAGAGATGGAAGTTGTCTAAAGTGAGTTTTTTCCAGCTTTTTTCTCTTCATCTCAAAAGTCTTCCAACACCTAACCCATCCTTTACCATACTTCTTTCTAAGCCCAACCCCTCTACCTGTGCCCTTGATCACACCCCCTCTCTTCTCTCTAACCTTGCTTCATGAATGATCCCTACTACAAATGATCCCTGTGACAAGTCTTCAGTTCTTCCCTAGGCCTGAGCACATGCTTCTCCCTTTGTGATGGTTACTTTTAAGTGTAAGCTTGAGTAGACCATGCATGGTACCCAGTTATTTGGTCAAATATTATTCTAGATATTTCTGTGGAGATATTTTTTAGATGTGATTAAAAATCAGTAGACTTTGAATAAAGCAGATTACACTCCATTGGTGGGGTGGGCCTCCAATCCGTAGAAGGTTGGCCTCTCTGGAAGAAGACGAATTTTTTTTTTTAAGGAGTCTGTCAGTGGATGTAATGGTTATGCCTCAGGAGGTCTTGTCTCTATCATTTGCTTTTTCTGTTCCAGTGAAGTATGTTGTCAATCAAACTTCTTTGAAGATGAAATTCTTAGGACTGAAACTACAACTCTTGTCTGGGTCTTCAGTCTACCAGCCGACCCTGAAGATTTTGGACTTGCCAAGCCTCCATAATCACAGAAACCAATTCCTTAAAGTAAGTCTTTCTCCCTGTATATACAAATAGAAATTTGTTCTATTTCTCTGTAGAACCCTAATATACCCTCCTTTCCTAAAAAAACTTTTCCCTGAAGCTGCCTTGCATCTAAGCTCACATGCCCCTTCTCTACAAAGTCAGCTCTACTATCCTCTCTCCTTCTGCTGGCTGCTCTTACAGTCTGCATAAGGAGATGTTTGAAATAGTGGGATTTCTGCAGTGTGAAACAAGGACGTAATCTATTTCATTGTTACATTTCCAAAATATGTCTAGCACAATAACTGGAATATTGTGGGTACTTGAGCTTATTCATTTGAAATGTCAAAGCCTTTCTCTAAGTAAGGCTGAAAAACAACTGAGAAAAATGCAACCATAAACATTTCCTTTGATATTTCTGGACTAAGATGTTTGAATTTGAACTCTGTTTATTAAAAACATTCTTGCTGGGTAATTTAGTCCTCTTTTCTCTTAAAAAATGTTTTTCAGAGTTGCAGTAAAAGAGGAACCCAAGTGCATAACAAGATCAAAGAAATCATTCCCTACATCCCAGTAGTGATGAACAGACATGTGGTGAGTGGCTGGTGGACACTGTTCTACTTTACTACACGTTTAACCCCTTTGTTTCTGTCCATGGTACCTAGAATGTCCTTATAAAATCAGAACATTAGGAAAATTTTGAATTAATTATTAAAATAGATTTTTTTAAGTCAATAAGAAAAAAAAGAAACAGGGTCAGAGAAGGAGTATTACTGCTGTTAGTGAAAAACAGTTATATCAGTTGAAATTTTGACCTTTAGGCTGAAAATGAGAAAGTGGGTTTTAAAACAGGAACATATTCTTAGGGAATAAGAAGGAGCTTTTAAAAATTCAGTGGGAATTTACCACTGATATTTTAAAAAAAATTTAGCAACACTCAGGGCACTCTAAATTGAAAAGAGAAAAAATATTATCCGCAATAACAAAAACACCATAAATCAAATCACTTCTGCTTTTATATTTGTTTTATTTCTACAGTCCTTGACCATTTAGATTTATAACTTTTCCAACAATGTATTATAAATCTTTCAAACAAATCACTCTGTCCATCTTATTTTTGTTTTAAATACATTTCAAAGAAAGTTGCAGATATCAGTATATTTCACTATAACCAAATGGGATTTGTTCCAGGTATGCCAGGCTAGTTCAACATTCAAAAAAATCAAATAATGTAATACACCACATCAGTAGATTAAAGAAGAAAAATCATATAATCATATCAATAGATGCTGAAAAACATTTGACATATTCAACATCCATTCATGATCAAAGCTCTCAGCAAACTAGGAATGCAGAGGAACTTCCTTAACTTGATAAAGAATATCTATAAAAGAAAAACCTATAGTGAAGACCATACTTCATGATGAGAAACTAAATGCTTTCCCCCTAAGATTGGGAACAAGGATGTCTCCTCTCCTATCTAACATCATACTGGAAGTCCTAGCTAATGCAATGAGACAAGAAAATAAATAAAGTATACAGAATGGAAAGAAAGAAATGAAACAGTCTTTGTTTCCAGATGGCATGAATGTCTATGTAGAAAATACCAAAGAATCAATCAAAAAAACTGCTGGAACTAATAAGCAATTACAGCAAAGTTGCAGGATACAAGATTACTTTCCTATATGCCAGCAGTGAACAATTGGAATTTGAAGTTATAAAAACAACACTATTTACATTAGCCTCAAAAAACATTTTTAAGAGATACTTAGGTAAAAATTTAACAAAATATATACAAGATCTGTATGACAGAAACTACAAAATGCTGGTGAAAGAAATAAAAGAATATCTAAATAAATGGAGAGACACAAGATGTTAGTTCTTCTCAACTTAATTTATGGATTCCACACATTCTCAGTCAAAATCCTGGAAAATTATTCTGTAGATATCAACAAACTGATTCAAAAGTTCATATGGAAAGGCAAAAGACCCATAAGAGCCAATACGACCCTGAAGAGGAACAGAGTCAGGGGACTGACATTACCTGGATGAAGACAGTGAGGTATTGGTGAAATAATAGATAAACAGATCAGTAGAACAGAATAGAGAGTCCAGAAATAGATCCACACAAATAGAGTAACTGATCTTTGACATGGGAACAAAGGCAATTCCGTGGAGAAAGGATAATCTTTTCAACAAGTGATGCTGGAACTACTGGATATCCACATGCAAATCATCATCAATCATCATCTAGCCACAGACCTTACACTCATCCCAAAATTAATTCAAAATGGATTATAGATGTAAAAATGCAAAATTATGAAACCTCTAGAAGATAAAAAGGAGAAAATCTAGGTGACCTTGGGTTTGGTGATGAGTTTTAGATACAACATCAAAAGTGTGATCAGTGAAAGGAAAACTTGATAAGTTGGATTCCATTAAAATTTAAAACATCTGCTCTGTGAAGGACACCATTAAGAGAATGAAACGACAAGCCACAAACTGGGAGAAAATATTTGCAAAACTCATCTGGTAAAGGGCTGGTATCCAAAATATACAAAGAACTCTTAAAACTCAATAATAACGAGACAACCAATTAAAACATGGGCAAACAATTTATCTATTATTTCACCAAAGAATACATACAGATGGCAGATAAGCATATGAGAAGATGCTCAATATCATATATCCTTAGAAAATTACAAGTTAGGGAATCCCCTGGTGTTCCAGTGTTTAGGACTCAGCACTTTCACTGCCATGGACTGGGGTTCGATCCCTGGTCGGGGAACTAAGATCCTGCAAGTAGTGTGGCGCACCAAAAAAAAAAAAAAAAAAGAGGGCTTCCCTGGTGACGCAGTGGTTGAGAGTCCACCTGCCGATGCAGGGGACACGGGTTCATGACCCGGTCCGGGAAGATCCCACATGCCGTGGAGCGGCTGGGCCCGTGAGCCATGGCCGCTGAGCCTGCGCGTCCGGAGCCTGTGCTCCGCAACGGGAGAGGCCACAACAGTGAGAGGCCTGCGTACCACACACAAAAAAAGAAAATTACAAGTTAAAATAACCACTACACACCTATTAGAATGGCTAAAACCCAACAACAAATGCTGGTGAGGATGCAGAGCAACAGGAACTCTTGGTCATTGCTGGTGGGAATGCAAAATGTTGTAGCTACCTTGGAAGAGAGTTTGGCAATATTTTACAAAGATAAACATAGGCTCCATAAATCCAGTCATGTTGCTCCTAGGAATTTACCTAAATGAGTTGAAAACATGTCCACCCAAAAATCTGCACATGAATGTTTATAGCAGCTTTATTCGTGATTGCCAAAACTTGAAAGCAACCAAGATGTCCTTCACTAGGTGAATGGATAAACAAACTGTTATACATCCAAACAATGGAATATTATTCAATGATAAAAAGAAATGATCTATTAAACCATGAAAAGACACAAAGAAACCTTTAGTGTATATTGCTTTATGAAAGAAACCAATTTGAAAAGGCTACATATGGTATGTTATGGACTGATTGTGTCCCCCCAAAATTCAAATGTTGGAGCTCTAACCCCCAATTTGACTGTATTTGGAGATAGGGCATTTGGGGAGGTAATTAAGGTTAAATGAAGTCATAAGTGTGGGGCCCTAATTGGATAGGACTGGTATCCTTAAAAGAGAGGAAAAGACACCAGCACTCTCTCTCTTTCTCTGCCCACACACAGACAAGAGGCCATGTGAGGACACAGCAAGATGGAGACCATCAACAAGCCAGGAGGAGAGATCTCACCAAACACCAACCCTGATGGCACCTTGTTATTGGCCCTCTGGCCCTCAGAACTGTGAGAAAAAAATCTGCTGTTTAAGCCACCCAGTTTGTGTTATCTTCTTATGGCAACCCGAACAGAGAAATACATGGTATGATTCCAAATATCAGCTATCTGAAATAGGCAAGACTATAGAGACAATAAAAAGACCGGTGGCTGCCAGAGGTTCAGGAAAAGGGAGGGAGATTTGAATAGGTAGAGTTCAGGGCATTTCTGGGACTGTGAAACTATTCTATGTGATACTGTAATGATGGATACATGAGCTTATTCATTTGTCAAAACCCATGGAACATACAGCACAGAGAATAAGCCACAATGTAAACTATGGACTTTAATAATGATGTACATTATTTAATAATAATGTATCAATATTGGTTCACCAATGTTAACAAATGCACCACACTAATGCAAGACGTTAATAATGGGTGAGACTCTATGCATGAGTTATTAATACTTTCTCTGCACTTTTTCTACAAACCTACTCTAAAAAAGTTTATTAAGACTTATAAAAATTAATATTCTAAATGTTAAAAATTAGCATCATGGATAACTACCAGTTTTTTCTTCACAGTTATGTGTACTTTAATATAGTACCTATATTATCCAGTTGCCTGTCTTGTTCTTGAAAGTATTTTTCTGGTTTGCTGTTGACATTTTAAAGTTAAGGGTTTTGTTTGTTTGTTTGTTTTACGGAAGACTAGCCCCAGGTCAACTAAGAATGTAGCATATTTGTGACCTAAAGATGACAAGGTTGGTCTGCTTTTTAAAGAAACATAACAGTCACCTCGAATACTTGAAAACACTGCATATTTAGTTATTTTCACATTTGCCATTAGTCTACCATGTGAAGAAGGTGAAGATGAGAAGTTAGAGTCGTCCAGCTCCTCTTAGAAAGTAGTTGCACTTCACCAAGATGGGGCAAGCCTGGCTGCTAGCTAGCACCTTGCTTGAAGTGATGGTGGTTGCCGGGAACCATATATGCCCCAAATCTCATACACCCCTTTTTCCAGAGACATTAAAGAAGGATTCTGACTTTGTATTGAGTATCTACAAAACCTAAAGCATACATTATCCCTTCTAAGTAAATTCTCAGGACCACTCACCTTTTACTGCCCCCCTCCCCTCCTACCCTTCTTCCTCTATTTTTTATCCCTGGTCCTATGTTCCTATGTTCCAGCGTTCAGTATCTGCTCTGCTCTCTGCACTTCCTTTCTTCTTCCTTCTGGTACCTTCTGTATCATTTTCTCCAGTATATCTTTCAGTTTATTTTATATCATTTATTGTTAAAACCACCTATTAATGTTTTGTTTTGTTTTTTTAAAATTCTTTTATTTCAGAGAATTTCAAAGTTCTCCAAACATACACATATACAAAATAGACAGAAGAGTAAAATGAATGCTCATAGCCCCGTGGCCCTGCTTCAATAATTGTCTTTTTTCATTTTTTTTAAACCAATGGATTTTAATATAACAGAGTATCATAAGATGTTTTTTTCATTTATATTCCCATATTTTCTCTACAACTAAGTATTATTTGAAGCAAATCTGATAATCTGTTTTCAAGACTGCTTTTATTTATTTTTATAATTTTTATTGGAGTATAGTTGATTTACAACGTTGTGTTAGTTTCAGCTGTACAACAAAGTATCTCCACTCTTTTTAAAATTCGTTTCCCATATAGGCCATTACAGAGTATTGAGTAGAGTTCCCTGTGCTATACAGTAGGTCTTTATTACTTATCTATTTTGTATATAGTAGGGTGTATATGTCAATCCCAATCTCCCAATTTATCCCTCCCCCCACTTAACCCCTGGTAACCATAAGTTTGTTTTCTACATCTATAACTCTATTTCTCTTTTGTAGATAAGTTCATTTGTACCCTTTTTTTAGATTCCACATATAAGCGATATCATATTATATTTGTCTTTTTCTGACTTACTTCACTCAGTATGACTCTAAGTCCATCCATGTTGCTGCAAATGGCATTATTTCATTTTTTATGGCTGTGTAATATTCCATTGTATATATGTACCACATCTTCTCTATCCCTTCATCTGTTGATAGACATTTAGGTTGCTTCCATGTCCTGGTTATTGTAAATAGTGCTGCAATGAACATTGTGGTACATGTTTCTTTTTGAATTATGGTTTTCTCTGGGTATATACCCAGTAGTGGGATTGCTGGGTCATATGGTAGCTGTATATTTAGTTTTTTAAGGAACCTCCATACTGTTCTCCATAGTGGCTATACCAATTTACATTCCCACCAACAGTGTAGGAGGGTTGGCTTTTCTGCCCACAGTATCGCCTCACACCGGTCAGAATGGCCATCATCAAAAAATCTACAAACAATAAATGCTGGAGAGGGTGTCAAGACTGCTTTTAAACACATGGCTATCTCTCCTTGATAGGCATTCCCTGGCCCCTGCTTGTTTGTTCATCTTCTAGGAGATTCTATCAGAGCCTTAGGGTATAGTGAGAAAAGATTGGGAAAGTGTAGCATACCAGGGCAGAGAGAAGAAGCTGACACTAGAGATCTCGAAGCTATTGCCTCTCCTGGGAGTCAAGTGGCACGGTGATCAGTTTGTAATTAGAGTGTAGTAGTGACCTCTGTCATATGTCACCTGTTTTATTCTGCTCCTGGGGCCCTCCTCTGGGCCCATGGCTTGTGGCTCAAGAAATTGATGCTCTGAGTCTCTTTATTGTATTTGTGTTGAAGTACTTTCAAGACAGACCTCACATAATTTCTTCAGACACATTTCTGAGGAATGTGAGCTCACAAGGAAACAAGGCATGTGAGCAAGATCCAGGAGACCCAGACCCACACAGATTGCAGACATTGGAATTATTGGACATAACATTTTAAATAAGTTTGTTTACTATGTTTAAAGGAATAAAAGAGGACATTGAAAATATGTGTAAGGATCAAGAGATTCATTTTTAAAAGACCAAGCAGATTTGAAAAAAGAACCAAATAGACTTTTTTTTGAAATGAGACTGCGAAAACTGAAATTAAAAGCTCAATATTGTCATGGATGAGATAGTCATGCCAGAAACATTGAACCTAGATGTGATTAAACCTCTGATTCCAACTATCAGTTTACAGGTGCGAGAGGAACTAAACTACAGATAAGCAACTGGCAAAATCCAAATTGTAGAACATTCCACAGGACAAACAACTCATTAAAAAAAAATAGATTGCAAGGAAAAGAAAATATGGAGGAGAACCTATTGATTCAATAGCAGCATAAAAGACATATTTACCAATTGCAATATTCATAGTTTGCTTGATTCAAGCAACTTGTAAAAAATATGACATTTAGGATACAATTGGAAATTTCAATAGTTACTGGATGTTGAGCCTACCCATGGGTAATAAGCGGTTATTGTTAATTAGGGGTGTGATCATGGTATAGTGACTTTTTGTAAAAACAGGAGTTACTATCTTTTATACATACATACTGAAATACTTATGGGTTTCTGTTTTCCTTGCATTGTGAGCAGAGAATTAGCATGATCAGTCATTCTGGTTCACCTAACTCTCCCAGTTTTAGCACTTAACCCCTTAGTCCCAGGCTAACCGGGATGATTGGTCACTCTAGTCTAATGTCAGTTCTTTAAAATTGGTTGAGTTATCAAATTATGATTAGATTATCCCTGTTAATTATTTTGTCTCTTTGGATATTCTTGAAATGAGTTAAAATCTGACACTTTTAATACGATTTTTTGGTGATTTTATCATTATAATTCTGTTAAGTTTTGTTACACATATTTTGAGGCTCCATTTAAGATACATAGAAGTTTATAAATGTTCTATCTTCTTGAATCCTTTAATTTCCTTATAGTCCTCCTTTTGATCCCTATTAATGCATTTAATTCTAAATTTTATCTTATTATATTAGTATTGCTACATCAGCTTTCTTTGGTTAGTACTTGCTGGGTATATCTATTTCCATACTTTTATTTTCAACCTTTCTGGGTGATTTTCTGGTAATTTTGTCTCCTATATGTAGCATATACCAAGATTTTTTTTAATTTTAATTTTTTTATTGAAGTACAGTTGACTTACAATGTTGTGTTAATTTCTGCTGTACAGCAAAGTGATTCAGTTTTTTATATATATATATATTCTTTTTCAAATTCTTTTCCATTATGGTTTATTACAGGACATTGAATATAGTTCCCTGTGCTATACAGTAGGATCTTGTTGTTTATCTATTTTATGTATAGTAGTTTGTATCTGCCAATCCCAAACTCCTAATTTATCCCTCCTCCACCGCCTTTCCCCTTTGGTAACCATAAATTTGTTTTCTATATCTGTGAGTCTGTTTCTGTTTCATAGAAAAGTTCATTTGTATTATATTTTAGATTCCACATATAAGTGATATCACATGGTATTTGTCTTTCTCTTTCTGATTTACTTCACTTAGTATGATAAGTGAAGTAAACCATCCATGTTGCTGCAAATGGCATTATTTCCTTCTTTTTATGGCTGAGTAATATTCCATTGTATAGATGTACCACATCTTCATCCATTCACCTGTTGATGGACATTTAGGTTGTTTCCATGTCTTGGCTATTGTAAATAGTGCTTCTGAGAACACTGGAGTGCATGTATCTTTTCGAATTATAGTTTTGTCTGGATTTATGCCCAGGAGTGGGATTGCAGGATCATATGGCAACTCTATTTTTAGTTCTTTAAGGAATCTCCATACTGTTTTCCATAGTGGCTGCACCAATTTGCATTCCCACCAACAGGGTAAGAGGGTTCCCTTTTCCCCATACCCTCTCCAGCATTTGTTATTTGTAGACTTTTTAATGATGGTCACTCTGACCAGTTTGAAGTGATACCGCATTGTAGTTTTGATTTGCATTTCTTTAATAATTACTGATGCTGATGCATCTTTTCATGTGCCTACTGGCCATCTGTATGTCTTCTTTCGAGAAATGA